CAGAGGGTCCCAGGGAGTTCCAGGAGCTGGGGGCTGTGCCAGGGGGGTGTCAGGGGGTCTCAGGGGCAGGGGGGGTTTCCTGTGCTTGTTTTAGGGCTGTTTTGGGAACTCAGGACCCCGAGAGGGTCTCAGTTTTGGGTGGGGGGGGGGTCTCACAGGTGTGTGTGTGTGTGTCCCCCCATCCCACCCCCCAGGTTTTGGCTACATGACGAAGCAGCTGATGAGCCTGGCGGGGGGGGCCGTGGTCCTGGCCCTGGAGGGGGGGCACGACCTCACTGCCATCTGCGACGCCTCCGAGGCCTGCGTGTCCGCCCTGCTGGGCAACGAGGTGAGGAGGGGGGGGGGACACCCCAGGGACCCCCAAATCCTTGATTTTATGTCAACTTCGTCATCTGGAAGATAAGGCGAGAGACGTAAGAAATGTATAAAATATATAAAAGGCCTGAGGGATGTGAGAGGTGAGGTGTGAAAGGTGTAAAATGTGTATAAAATAAATATGCAAGGTGTATAAAAAATATGAGAGGTGAGAAATGGATAAAATGTAGAGAATAGATAAAAATGTGAGGGGTATAAAATGGGTAAAATAGGTAAAAGCAGGATAGATGTGAAAGGTGAGATGTGAAATGTATACAATATATAAAAGATACAAAATATGTGAAAGATATATGTATAAAATATATAAAAAATATAAAAAATATAAGATATATAAAATGTATAAAATATATAAAAATATAAAATGTATAAAATATATAAAATGTATAAAATATATAAAATATAAAATATATAAATATATAAAATGTATAAAATATATAAAATGTATAATATATATAAAAAAATGAAAGATATGAAAGGTATAAAATATATAGAAGATATGAAAGATATAAAAGGCGTGGAGGATATAAAACCTCCTCCTTCCCAGCTGGATCCCCTTCCCGAGGAGAGCCTGAGGCAGAAGCCCAACCCCAACGCCGTGCGCTCCCTGGAAACCGTGATCCAGGTCCAGAGTGAGTGTCCAGGCCTGGGGAACGCTGGGAATGTTGGGGAATGGTGGGGAGGGGCCTTTCCTGCCCTCCTGAGCCCCAAAGGAGTCACTTCATGGAATAATGGGATGGTTGGGTTGGGAGGGACATCCCTGTGCTGGGACATCCCTGTGCTGGGACACCCCTATCCTGGAATATCCCTGTCCTGGGACATCCCTGTCCTGGAATATTCCTGTGCTGGGACATCCCTGTGCTGGGATATCCCTATCCTGGAATATCCCTGTGCTGGAACATCCCTATCCTGGGATATCCCTGTTCTGGGATATTCCTGTTCTGAAATATCCCTGTGCTGGGACATTCCTGTCCTGGGACACCCCTATCCTGGGATATCCCTGTGCTGGGACATTCCTGTCCTGGGACACCCCTGTCCTGGGATATCCCTATCCTGACTCATCCCCATCCCAGCACACCCCTGTCCTGGGATATCCCTGTCCTGGGATATCCCTATCCTGAGATGTCCCTGTCCTGGCATATCCCTATCCTGAGTCATCCCCATCCCAGCACACCCCTATCCTGGGACATCCCTATCCTGGGATATCCCTGTCCTGGGACACCCCTGTCCTGGGATATCCCTATCCCTAGTCATCCCCATCCCAGCACACCCCTATCCTGGGGTATCCCTGTTGTGCTACCCCCCTATCCCAGCCCACCCTGTGCCCCCCGTGCCCCGCAGGCAGGTACTGGGTTGCCCTGCACCGTTTCGCCTCCAAGCTCGGCTGCTCCTTCCTGGAGGCCCAGCGGGACCACGAGGCCGATGAGGTGGAGACGGTGACGGCGTTGGCCTCGCTCTCCGTGGCCGTCATGGTGGAGAAGAGGTGAGATGAGACCCCCGGAGCCCCCTCGGCCCCTGGGAGTGCCAGCTGGGGGATCCCCGTTCATCCTGGAGGGTTTGGGTGTCCCTCATTCCCTGGTGGATCTTTGGGGTCCATGGGGGTGCCAGCTGGTGGATCCCGGCCCATCCCAGGGGTCTGGGTGTCCCTCATTCCCTGAGGGATCCCGGTTCATCCCAGGGGGTCTGGGTGACCCCCATTTCCTGGTGAATCCTGGGTGTCCCTCATCCCCTGGGCCCCATGGAGTGGCAGGTGATGGATCCTGATCCCTCCTGGAGGGTCTGGGTGTCCCTCATTCCCTGGTGGATCCTTGGGTTCCTTGGGGGTGCCAGCTGGTGGATCCTGGTCCCTCCTGGAGGGTCTGGGTGTCCCTCATTCCCTGAGGGATCCTGGATGCTCCCCATTCCCTGTGTCCCATGGGGATGTCAGCTGATGGATCCTGGTCCATCCTGGATGGTCTGGGTGCCCCTCATCCCCTGTTCCCAGCAGGGCAGGAATTTGGGATGCTCTGGGATTCCTGCAGGAGGCCCTGGGGGTGGAGGGGGGGGGCTGTCCCGTGTCCCACCAGGATTCCTCACAGGAATCCCCACTGGAATCCCCACAGGAATCCCCACTGGAATCCTCACTGGAATCCTCACTTGTTTCTCCCTCTCAGGGCGCCCGAGGAGCCGATGGAGGAGGAGGAGCCCATGGCCCAGTGACAGTGGGGACCATCCCCTGCCCCAGGACCTGCCCTTCCCTCCTGCCTTCTCCTCATCCTCACTCCCCGAAGCCGAGGAAGGGCCTGGACTCCGGGAAGGGACCGAGGGAGGGGCACCAGCCCCCTCCCAAACCCGGACTGTGCCCGCAGAGACCCCAAACCCGGGCCCCAAAACCCCTCTGGGGGCGCGGGGGGGGGACCCCAACCCCTCCGGCTGAGCGGGTGGAGGCAGATCCCGGCATCTCCCTGATCCTTGTCCTGGGATGTCCCCCAGGGGAAGGAAGGGCCTGGCTGTGGGGATGGACTGGTTGTGGTTCTGCTCCAGGAGCTCCTCTCCAGCCCTGGCACGAGCAGGGATGGGCCCTCCCTGTGCCCCCTCCGAGGATTTCCCGGCTCCCCTTCCCCTCCGGAGCGTGGCAGTGCCGGGTGGGATGTTTTTTGGGGGGGACCATCCCCTGCCCAAGGGTCACCCTCGTGGCTCCCTTTTTTTCCCCCCTCCAAACCTGTGGACCCCAATTTTGCACTATGGACCTGGATGTGTGTGAACCTGAGCTCCTCCTTCCTCTCTTCCCCACCTTGGGAATTCCAGGATCTGACTCCTCTCCATGGGGAGCTCCGAGGAGCCCCAAAGGGATGGAGACCCCAATCCCAAAATCCCAGCCCAGTCACCCCTCCAGCTGAGCTCCCCCCAAAAAAAAACCCTTCATGGGGTGCTCAGGAACTCCAGGGATGCCCCAAATCCCCCCAGGGATGCCCCAAATCCTCCCAAATCCCCCAAATCCAGCCCCGGGCTCTGCCCAGGGATCTCACAGGGACCCCAAAATTTGGGTGTCCATCCCCTTTTCCTTTGTTTCCACCTCTCCCACAGCCACGGGGAGCATTCCCTGTGTTTCCCCCTTCCCCCCACACTGGTGACCCCAAGGGTTATCCCACCAGGACGGGGCCCTGCTGGGATTTTGGGACACAGGAAGGGGGCAGGGCCGGGTCCTGCTGCAGCAGGAGGAGATTCTTTTTCTTTGTCCAGCACAGGGAGGAGATTTTGTAAAAAAAAAAACAAAACAAAACCAAA